CTTTGAAGCGTGGCCCTCCGTCACCGCCTCCGCGTACACCGACACTCCATTGGATTTGTGCTTGATCATGCTGATGTATCGAGGGCTCACTGTTTTTTTTGGGGGGGGGGGGGGGGGGGGGGGAAACAAACCTTTTCCAGGCCTTTGGGGGGTTTTGGGGGGTCTCTGGGGGGGCTTTGCGGGGGCTCCGCGGGGTCTCTGCGGGGGTCCCGCGGGGACTCTGCGGGGGTCTTTTTGGGTCTTCCGGGCGGGTGCGACGGAAGGCCTTTGGAAAAGAATTTACCTACAACTACCCCCGTGTCTCACTGGTCTGGGGAGGAGCCACTCCGGGAGAAAACACAACCTCCCATTAATTCCTGCGTCCTAAACTCCTGAGAGTCAGAGAGGGCCCCGGGCCTCCCTTTTCCAGTCAAATTTGGGCACACAGGGGGTGGGGGAACCACCCACTTTGCCTGTGTTTGAGGACGCTCATAAGCAATATCCCGGAAATTTTACCCCGAGGGGAGCGAGGGGGGGAACCAAAGAAGAAGAAAGGGATGAATACGATTCCCCTGTTTAAACGCACCAGTGGGAGGGAGGGAGAGATGAAAAATAAGAAAGAAAGGGAAAGAACGCCGAGGTTTTTGGAAAATGCCCAACTCCCAACAATAGCAATCTCATATCAAGAAATGATTCATTTGCTCCTTTTGAGGGGGGGGGGGGGCATAAATCAGGGTGGATGCTGACTCTGTGCTTTGACTAAAAAACTTCTGAGGGGGGTTTTACCGCTTATATTGCAACACGCTCACACTTAAACAAACAGCCATAAAACACATGTTTAAAATCCTGCCTGTCTGGCAAACTAAATCAACATTCTCCAAAGGGTAAAAGCAGGCCTCCAGATATGAAATCATCTTCTCACACACACACACACACACACACACACAACTGGACACACAGTGGTCCCAGAAAGCACCCGTTCGGCCAACGCAAAAGCTCCCCGGAGTTTCCCCATGATGAGAAAGCCCGACACAAAGCAGCAAAAACAGAGAATGAAAAAGAAGTAAAAACATTTAACTTTGACAGTTAAACTCTGTCTTCTCAGCCTACTTCTACAAAAAATAAACAGGGGGGGGCGCCACTATTTGCTCTGCAGTTCCAATTTGATCGGGACCCGCTCCCCGTTTTTCGAAACGCGTCGACATTTCAAAATATATTTTTTTGCACCGGCCTGCTATCATCGTCCGATGAGGCTGCGGAGAAATAACAGGGCCAACGCGGGGCCACCTGCCGCACAGCACATCTCGCCTCCCCAAGAAATAGACGCCGGACAGAGAAATCGGCGTCCTACTGTCGGCTCGCGGCGATGGGAAGTCCTTATTTGGTCATCATTTCTCCCTTTCCGACAACTAGACGCCGTTTTTCGGCCATTACTGGGGGAGATAAGGGGAGCAGCGGGACATTGTGTTTATTTCTTTATTTTCCTTAAAGATGAGAGATGAGAAGACGGAAAAAAGAAAAGGAGGCGAAAGGGGCGAGAGTAATGACTGCAGTGCTTTACCGCCTACGGAGCCCCATCTCTCCCGTTGCCCCTTGTAGGGGGACAAATTGATCCGGGAAATAAGGGGTAATTTCCTCTGACTGTTTTCCTGTTCACAGCACACTGTCATTAGTTTGAGACGCGCACACGAAAGCTGACCCAGCTGTGCCCTCCGAGCGCTAATGTGAGAGTGCGCGTGTGTGTGTGTGTGTGTGTGTGTGTGTCTGGGCACGCAGACTACCCGAGCAGCAGTGACCCCGATGACCTTTGTATGTCTGAACGTTGAGCCAACGAAAACCATCGATAAAATTACTAAAGTAGCTGCAGTATCTGTCCACGTTTATATTGGTGGTTGTGTTTATGTTGAAAGCTGTTATTTAGATTCAAGCAACTCCTATTCCATCATGGTTACTGTCTAAATATTGAAGTAGCAAGAACAATATGCAATAAAATGCTAAAACAGCACAAAAAATACCTCAGTTGCATGTATTATATTTACTATTATATGTTATGTGACATAATTACTATTATTACAGTTAGAATGACGATGAGTTACAATGATGATATAACTAACGCATGTTGGTTCACTGCTAAATGAAAAACAAATCCTAGGATTCTTCACATAAACGGTTGGTCCCCCACATGGCGGTCGGACGGCTGCGTCCCTCACACACACTCCCTCGTGTGACATTCCAAACGATACAGCAGATAATCAAGTGTACGCAGTATAATACCATGGAATACACCGGGACACAAGAATACCGCTCAGGGTTTGAGCTTCGGGACGTTTTGTCGTCAAATTTCCTGAAAATATTGGATCGGGACGAGCGGAACTACACTTCTGACCAACGTGGGGACCAAAGAGACGACAATGACTGCATGTCCCGTGTAGGACACAGTTCCCAGCTCGCCTCACACACAAACAAGTCAAAGAGCTACCAGTTAACTAGGGTGAGATGGTTTCACGGTAACATTACGGTCAAACCACTCCGCTGGCAACGTTTCCATTTGGACTGAGTGAATATGAGGAGTTAAACCCAACGACACATGGAGTCACGTTACTCCTCTTCATCCCCTGTGGGGTAATGAGGCTGCAGTGACATCATAGATATCCAGACCGTCACAATCCCAAAGCACACCTCACACTCACACTTCAACCGCGACCTTCTTCCGTCGCCCGACTCGGTGCTACACCCCCCCCCCCACCACCCCAGGCGCCCGGTTCCCCTCATCTTCAACAAGGAGCTCTCCACGCGTGACGTTCTCTTAATCCGTTTGGTTGCATTGACGTTTTAAATGCTCCACTCTCCCTGTTGAGCCAATCCATCAGCGGTTATAAAACGGCTGTGTGTGTGTGTGTGTGTGTGTGTGTGTGTCTGTGGGGGGGTATTCAGAAGCTACCGCTTGCTGTGAAGTTGCAGTTAGCGGTGGAAACCCGTCACAGCGGCTTGGCTTGGCTGAAATACACACGCGCACAAGTCTCATTCACGTTGTGAAGATTGCCGAGCCAGCTAAACACCCCTTTTCTTTATGTACACCCCTGAGCTGTCCTGAGCTGTAAAGTGTAACAATAAAGCGGATTATGACCAGAAGCTTTCATTTATTTGCTCCGAGTCCTTGAGCATATGCATAAAACACACACACACACACACACAGGTGTGCAGGTCCAGGAGGCACGGCAAAAAGAAAAAATGGCTGTATTATTTCTGCTTGATTCTTTGAAGGGGGAGAAGGCAGGTTGAGCAGTGCAGCAGCATCGGAGCAGCGAGCGCGCACGCACATGCACACACACACACACACACACACACACACACACACACACACACAGCATCATATAGCTTTATCTCCCAAACAGGCAGACACACACATAGCATTTGAAATTCCAATATTCCCAGAGGTGATCCAGACACACATACACCTTCAGCCCCTGAACCAATGCAGCAAATATCATTATGGATTCAATGCAGCCTTGAATCAATCCAGGCTGCGGGTCTGCAAATGTGTGTATCTGTGTGTGTGTGTGTGCTGTACGTGCGATAAAGGGATGCTGGGTGCTCCAGTGAGGATTTCACCAAACTCCATGTGTTTTGGTTTTTTATTGAAAGGAGGCAGCAGGAGGTACAGTTTTACAATAGCCTTCCCATCGCATGTCTGCGCTTCACCCAATATCGCAGGAATAATTTCACACGTGCACACGCACACACATGCATCCTTTGCTGCTATGCACCGTGGTACATTCGATATTGTGTTCACACGCTTAAGCCAAGAGGGGCAGTACAGTCGGCAGAGAAGCCACAGCCCTCGTTGTAAATCAATAGATTAAATAGAAAGGTATGAATAAAACACAAGATAATAAATAAAAGACGGGATGCTTTACTCTCTTTGTATTCCACTTGAGAGAGAAAAGGGGGAAAGAAACGAACAGATTGGGAGCAGCGAGTCAGATGAAAAAGAACTTCTTGTGGTCATATTGAACTTGTGGTTTAAATTCTTTAGTCAATCCTTCCCTCTGCACAGGTGTGCGTGCTTGCATACGGCGGGTATGTTGTTGAATGTGTGCTCTGTATACCAACACGTGTCTTCCTGTAAATGTCATTAATGAAAAATTCATTTGAGGCCTGGAGATGAAAAGGCAGATGTGCCAAACACGCTTGTACATAATTGTCTAAAACGTGGTTCGGCTCCACATGTTGTTTGTGAGTACGGTTTGTGTGCGGGGATTCTGAAAGCCTTTATTGACTAATAAATTAGTTGATTTAATTGAAAAATTGTTCAAACTGTTTCTGCATTGTCCCCGCACAGATTGATGGGGCCCTGTGGAGTTTATGATCTCACCAAAATATTCCTCCACGAGGCCTAACAATGCTGCATGAATCTCCTTCCTTCATGACCCATTTGCAAAGCTAATCGTGATCACATTTTGATATGGATATTTTCAGAATATTTTCATATCAGATAGCAGTCTTCTTCTGTGTCTCGGGAGCGTCACCACCATCAGTCGAACAGCTGGAAACCACCAGTAGGACGCAGAGAGCTGGAATCAGCATTCCTCCGGGGCGCCGCTCCAAACAAAGCGATCCGGAAGGATCTCAAGATCTCATCCTTTACGGGAGCCATTTGTGACTGTTATTGGGATGCCAGAGAGGCAACTATTACAGCTCATAATCGATACCAGCTCTCCATGAAGAGATACTAAAAACACGACCAATCAATGAAAGACTCCCATGCCAACTCAGACCCTAAAGAGCCATTAGGGCCCTACGACCCACTCGCCGCCTTCTTCTTTCACTCGAGTTACTTGAAGTATCGGCAAACACATTCGTTTCTGGATGCATCATAACACCACTGTTGGATTATACAAGCTTGAGTTTAAAGTGAGTGCTACAGTTTTTCCAACCGAAGCTCCGGTTGCAAAGAGGAGGCTCGGCCGACGGCTGCTGCCAGATGTGCGGTACAGCGTCACACGGCGCACTCCACATACCTGTCGTTGATGCTCCAGTTGAGGCAGAGGTTGAGGGAGCTGAGGTTGCGACACTTCCTCACCACCTCCATCACCGTCTCGTTGTTGAGCTCAGAGATGTGCCGCAGGTCCAACACACTCAGGTTCCGCAGCTACAAGAGGAGGACCAAAAAAAGGGTACATTACATTACTTTTAATATATATAAAAAGTAAAACGATTATATTATTAGTATTATATTATAATTATTATATTATAATTATTATATTATATATATATATAATATATAATAATAATAATAATATATATATATATATATATATATATATATATATATATATATATATATATCTGCCAATTTAATGCAAAACCGCCATCAGGAAATTTCAGTTTAACTTTAAGTAAATCCCAGCATTTTTATCTCTTTTTACACAAACAGGCATGTGGGAAACACAATGTCCTGTCAATGCATGAACAGGCAGCTGATTTTCAGGGAGCAAAGCTAATATTTGGTATGTATGCTACATGCGTCTGTATGAATAAGTGGAAGGATCCAACGTTTGTGCGAGTAAATTGGAATGAATCCCTCTGTGCGCTGAGTAAACTTGTATCGCGCCTCATGTACTAAAAAAAAAACCTGCATGAATGCAGAATAAAATCTATCAAGGCAGATAAATGGTAGAAATATGTTGCTGTTTATCATTCTGTGCCTGCATGCAGCATGGTGTGAGGGGTTATGAGCCAATGTGAGCATTCACTTTCCCCTCTTCCTTTCATCTCTCCGCCTGCCAATAATCCCCCGTTCCGATCTGAATACGTTGTAAGAGGGGGTTTAGATTAATCCCTCAGTGAAAATCTCTACTTCCTGACGCACTCTTAGAAACCCGCACGAGTGTCAAAATCACCCACTTGTGTGGCTTTTCAAGTCGCGGAACAGGTGCTTTTTCTCGGATACATGCTTGGCGGTATTTAAGGCACAGGTGCATGCACACATTTACGCTCCCTTGCTCACACATGTGCACACACACACACACACACACACACACACACACACACACACACACACACAGGGAAGCGAGATAATAGAGTTATCAATATTCCAGCCGGCCACAAAGGGACGCAGGCAGGTAAAAGTCAGGGCCGAGGCTAAAGAGAAAACAAGCTTACGGTTGGTGTTAAGATCACTGAGCGCGGTTTCCGGCTCCATGGGCGTGACATATACCTACCAGCATGAGGACACACAGGGGGGGGGTCACTGGAGGGACGTAAGCACACATGTAAACACTGCGTGTCCCTCGCCACGAATCCGGAGTCAAAACACACGACTGCACACAAACATCGGCGTGTGATGCTGCACTGCCTCAAACAAAAAGGATCAGCTGAGGTCTGATCAACAGGAAACAAAACCGCACCAAACACTGTGGAGACACAACCTTTGTGTACTAATGAAACACACACTCAAACAGCCAGATCAGGAAAGCAGCCGAGGTCGCGAGGGACGGCTAAACTGACATGATGAACAATTTTTTTATTTCATTTATATAATGAACAGGGCGAAAGCCTCAACTGTGTACATTAACACACACACACACACACGCAACAAAGGCTCTGCAAAAATCAAACCTGGATGCGGGTTGTGACCACTGACATTCGTAGCAAGAGTCACCCACTCACGTCTAAACCATCAAAAGTGCGCACACACACACACACACACACAAGATATGGTCATTTGCATTCAGTATTTATGGTTATTCAGCCCGGAGAAAATTTTAAAAGCACCAACTTAAAAACTAGTATTCGTTCTCCAAATCCTCAAAAGTGCTTAGGTCTGCTGTAGTAGAATTTCTACTACAGCCAATAGAAGGCGTCCCATTGATGTGGATAACCAATGAGAAACCAGGCCAACCACTGGGACTTTTGATTGGCTGAAAGTGTAGCTAGGTTGAGGAAAAATATGTGAACATTAAGCAGATGTCTGCATGAAAGGGAAGAGGCAGAGTCACGGCTGAGGCTGTAACTTAGTTGATCTCCTCCGTGGCAAGAGAGAAAAAAAAGAAAGAAGAGAAATAATTGCCCACGTTTTAACAGACATCTGACGAAACTCCAAATCCCTAAAACGTAATTAGTCCCAACTCCAGAATATGATGGCAGCAGTGCCAGTGTTTGTTTTCGTCATAGTTGAATAGATTATCATAATTTGACTTTTAGGTGAAGGGTGCTTTAATGCTTCCAATTGTGCTTAAGCATTTCCACTCACAGTGCTTCTGTGAAACGACAATAAACCGGCGCAGACGACAAAGAAAAATGAAAGGAGAAAAATTGTGGTGTTAAGGGAGCACCAAAAAAGCATGCAGAGGGGATAAAGAGCAACGAAACCCCCCCCCCCCCCCAAAAAAGAGAGAAATCAGGGAAAGAGCGAGTACAGCAAGCGAGCGAATGGAAAAAAGGAGCGGCGGCGCAGCGGGAGCAGCGGGTTTGGTGGAGGGATCCGCTGAGGTCTGTAACCGGGCAGAGTTTGTCCCGTCTCCTCAGAGTTGGCAGCTACACCTGCAGAATTATTCATAACGTTCCTAAAAACACTGAAACCTGCAGAATCCAGCTGCTCTGAGGCCGGCCTGTTTTTACAATTTTATGCTAATGTGTGCCGGGAGTCCACCACACGTCAGGCACGAGTATTTGACTTTGCTCAAACACATTTAACTCCCTTTCAAATAGAGATTTTACAGAAAGAGATGTGATCGGTTCATAAATATAAATATAGTGTCATAACAGTATATTAAGCACTACCTCTACTGGATCAAATATTTTAAAATACTTACATTTCGATGCATTATTAATAACAATAATCGTATTCGAATACTCTTCCACTCTGTACTTTTTGTATTATTAGTAGATTTTGATTATATGCTTATACGTGTACTAAAAGCGCTTTTTCAATATGACACAAATTATGGTTAGTGGAATCATAGCGATAAAATCATACATCGAGATATTGTGATGCGCCATTACATCACCTTTATTTGTAATAACACGGCAATAATAAAATTATACTAAAATCAGATTATTTTGTACTGGTTCTAAATCAAATGAACAGTTATTTTCATTTGTTGATTAATTCCTTCACACAAGAGTATCCACAACCACGTATTTACTTGTGTATATTTATTTACTGAATTACCAGTAAAACAACGTCATGAGCTATGAAGCAAAAATCTGATAAAAGGTTTGGCAATAAATCACCAACGCTACTTCTACAAGCAAAATTATAGATTTACTACTTTTATTTTGGTATCAATTTGTTGTATTGCCACTTCTACCACCTTCTAGTTTTTAATTCAAAATGTGCCAAAATAATAATAATAGTCACATAGAGAGCAGAAGCGCATTGAATCTCCCAGAATCACATAGTGGGAGATGCAGCGCCGCTCTTGGATCACGCCTTCATGCACCGATAAGAGAAAAGCAATCACTCCAGATTGTACCAGCGCCGGATGAGCAAACAGCCCTCGCCACCTCCCCGTATCAAAGAGGTCGCTTTGATTGAGTCCCCGCGAACGGAGGAGGTCTGTGGGCTCCGAGTGGCTCGGCTCCCACCTGCTTCAATTAGACGCCACTCTGGCGAGAAAAAAAAAAAACGAGAGCCCGGGTCAAGGGTCACACTCACAGCACCAATTTAAATGAAAGAAAAATAACTGGTGCGCCGTCTTCCAGCCAAACAGGCTGGAGTTCAATATTTGGAGAGGTCAATACGACACTTTATTACATTAGTGTACGTCACCGTCTGACACACTGTGCCTGTGTGTGTGTGTGTGTGTGTCCCTGGCTGAAGAGCTGTAACTACCTGCAATATCATTTAATGTATTTACATAACGTCAAGCACCGTGATGCCAGGCAGGAAGTGGAGGCCCCACGCAGAGGAAATGATGTCATGGCCTGAACGCCGGCACCAAGCAGCGGGAGTTGGCGGCTGTTGCTGTCCATCAGCCTCAGCGGCCCGGCTGACAAGCAGCTCATTGACATCCAGGAGACTCGGACAGAGCGAGTGTTGTTTCGGTCATAAATAGCCAAATGGAAAATATGAGCCGCGCATTCGTTGCTGTAGTCGATTCACAGCCGCCGCGAGGTTTAGTGTTTGAGTTTGGTCAATGAATAATTCATGTACTATTGTGGGATATACCTGTATGCTGTATTCATGGTCTCTAAAAAGGAGAGGAGGAAAAAAATAGAAGAAGCTTTTTGGTAAAACAACCGTATCGGAGGAAACTCAAACTGGGCAGTGATGAAAAGACACTCGAAATCCTCCCTCAACAATGCAGGTGGACGTCTAGAGAGTCACTTTGAAGTGACATTCAAAGTCCTGCGCAAAGAAGTCAAAGAGCAGTTGTCCGCGTGTGCTGGGAGGCCGAGTGAGGCGGGGTGAGGCTGGGGGAGAAAGCTGGGGGAGGAAGGTGAGACGAATGGCAGCGGCGTCACTAGGTGAAAGCAAGGGCGCACTCATGCATGTACGCTTTCCTTTTCTCCATATCGGAGCATCCCAGACAGTTCAGTCAGACAGGGAAAAGCTGTGTTGAGACAATCCCTCTGCGGCAGGCGCGGATCACACCTCCCCAACACACGTCCCCCCACACACACGTCCCCCTCCCTGCAGACAAACACTCACACACATAAATACACACAGGCCTGTGCAGACAGATCGACATGAATATTTGAAAAGGGACTGACGCAAAAGCTGGAGAGGCCGCAGGTCTGGTATCACAAATACATTGTCTGCATCAGTCACGGACCAGTGAGCCGATCCCTGAGGGAGAGAGAGAGTGTGTGTGTGTGTGTGTGCGTGTGTGTGTGTGTGGTGAACTTCTCTATTTATCTGTCTCGTGCCCATCTACTGTCTATCACTTATTTGCCCCCCCCTCTATCTCTCTCGCTCACTGTCCCTTACAGTCTCTAATCCTGCATGTGTTGGTGTTGATAACAAACTCAGCGGCGAGGAAAGGCTCGAGGACACAGAGAGCGTTGGTTTCTCTTCGTCGCTCTAAGCCAAATGACCACAGAGGCGTGCGCACACACGCGCACACACACACACACACACGCATGCCCTCACGTGAGTCACTGCAACGGATGTCACTCGCAGTACACTGACACTAGTTGGGCCAATAATGAGACATGATACACCCGTCCCACCCCCCCCCCCCCGAGAGGTAAAAAAACCTCTATCTCTGTCCGTCTCTGAGTTAAATGTCTCTGAGCCAAATGAATTATTCCTCGATTACTTATTAGGCCCCTCTCTGCTCATTATATTCAGAAATCCCCCAATCTCCTCCGTACAGCGCTGAAGAAAATTATTATTACAATTTCGACTCATTCTGGCGACCCCCACAACCCCATTACCTTTCTTCCTCCAAATCCCCTCAGCGCCTTCATTTCCCCTTTATCCTCCCCACCGGCCCCCGGGACACGGCACGCATGTGAAAGTACTCAGTCACGCAGACATTGGCGTACAGGAAGTACACACAGACGTACACACACACACACACACACACACACGCGTACTCCCCTGGTTGTGCTGGGGGTTATCGGTTTGACACAGGGCGCTGTGATTATGTATTTTCTGTGCTCCAGTCAGAGAGGGGAGATAAGGGGCCAGCAGACGACAGCAAAGCCAGACACCACTCACCCTACGTGGGGGGGGCGGTGCTGCAGTGGAAGGGGTAAAGGGCACAGCGGGGGGGGGGGGGGGGAGACCTGTACCTCCACCTTTATTTGTCTTTATCCGCTTTCTAAAGCTGTGGTCGGCGGATCATCAAAGGGATATTTTAAGGGACATGGGGGTGGGGGAAGTACTAAAGACAAAACATGTATGTAAGATGTAATATATCACCTCTTTCAGAAACAGCATGACGGGGTAAATTGGAATCAGGATGTTGTGAGTACACGCTGCTCCACCGAGCCAGCGGGATGGATAGAACGTATGATTCTGGTTATGAAATTAAATAGCTTCCTGTCAAAATCCAGACTTTTATTTGCTCATAAACACACAGAGAGAATGAGATATTCCCCGTCGTCCAACTGTGTCACATTTGGAGAGCATTTATTTTAAGGACCTAACTTTTTTTTCTTCTTTTTTTTTTTTTCTCTGGAAGAACAACAAAAGCAGTGGAGCGGCACGCTGAATTAATCTACGAAACCCCAAATTAAGACCAGAAAGCTCCGAGTTGCTCACATCAGAGAGACAACACGCAGCTATTACGAGAGCCTGAGAGTGTACCTCGTTTCATCTCTCCGTTTGTCTCTTCCCTCTCGCTCTCACACCCGAGGGTGGGAACTTCAACACACACACACACACACACAAAAAAGGCCTTCCGAGGCCCACAGGGCAGTGATAGGCTGATGTATGAGGAGGGGCATTGTGGGTAGGCATGACTAGCAAAGGGAAGCCATCAGTGGGACATCTAAGGCTCGGGGAATGAAGGCTGTCTGGCACCCAACGCTGCTCTCACACACTGGCTCTCTGATAGGCCCGACCTTGGACTTAATCACTAACAGAAGAAAAGCGCGCTGCTTGACGGGAGGATGGAAGCACGGTGGGGGGGCGTTTGTGCGTGTGAGAGAGAGAGAGAAACAAAACTAGGAACTACACCGGTAAAATGCATAAGGGAGACAAATACAGAGGGACAATGTGCGAGAGCAGGAAGAGACTGGACGGAGAAGTAGACGGTGGCGTGCAAAGAGATGGTTAATGAATCTGTCGGTGAGAGCACTCGGCATACAGTACCGCACATTTCCTCAAAGGTAGGCACATGGAACGCGCCTTTCATGGCGGACAGTCTGGCGTCAGGGGAAACGACTAATCTCATTCAGGTCCACCAGAAAACAAATGTTAAATTCTCCCATTAGCTGTTGAGGGAGAGCTGCGGGACGCCCACAGAGCCTCCACCTCGGGATGGTAAGTATCCACCACGAGGCCTCGGGATGTGACCAACCGCATCAATGGAACTATTAACAACGGAATAAGAGCGTAGTGACAGCTCTGAGCTTCACTCTAAACACCCACATTAAACTAGAGAAATAATGACAGCGGGTCGGCGTCACAGAAGACCACGAGGCGCGTGCGTGAATAATGTCCGATTCCCAACCAGCACGGAGAGCTCTTGTTTCTCGATTAGCGAGCTTTAATCTCTCTGCCCGCGGAAATCTGGTTCGTTCCCTTTTCGGTCGCTAACGAGACGATGATTTATTAAACGCCGTCTGGCTACAGATATTGAGCGGTGTTTGCTCACCGCAGCTCGCGCACGGGGCTGAAGACCATTAGAGGAGCATCCACGCCGCGCGCGCGCGCGCGCACACGCACACACACACACACACACACACACACACACACACACACACACACACACACACACACACACACACACACACACACACACACACACACACAATCTGCATGGGGGCCGGGCACCACGGGAGGCCTACTCCCACCGCCGGCTCACTCCATTATGAAAATACACTTTCAACTGATCTCCTCGTACCTGGATTTGTGAGAAATCGGTACTAAAAAAAAAAGGAAAATATCAATCTGAAACAAGCGTGTTATGTGGGAGAAGTTAATAAAACTAATGGATTTTCTTCCCCTCTTTTTCTGGTGGTAGGTGAATAGAAAAGTGAGGACGTCGGGAAGATTATCAGAGAGAGAGAGCGAGAGAGGGAGAGAAATTGAAGAAGTACCCGAGTGGGAGGGAGGGTGTGATAATCAAACAAGAGAGCAGCGCGCAGGTCCGCGGAGTCATCAGAAATGCAACGATTCCAAACGCCAGAATATGATTTTCAATCGACACAGAATGGGACCAAGTGGGAGCGAAGGAGAGGAGGAATCAACTGCTAAACGAGATAATTACCGTCAGAGATTACAGAGGGACGGAGAGGGGGCGCTCGGAGACGGGGGAGGGACTCGGAAACGGTGGCGGAGATGACAGTCAATCTGTGCCGGCAAGATAAACGTGGTCGAAGTCTTATCCTCGAAACATTCCTGTCTCATCAGGATTCATGAATCCCCTGCGCATGTTCGCAACTTCAAGTGTTTTCTAAAAGAAAGTTGAAGTGCCTGATTGGAATGCGGCTTATCGCCCTTTCAGGTGAAGCCTTTGTGAGGAGGCGTGCTGAGTGAAAGATCTTTATAATCAGGGATCATCCTCTCGGACACATAACAACAATCTTTTTTTATATCCTTTAAAAGGTAACGTGAGCCTGGCCTTCGCCAGCGGGTTGATGCCTGGCCCTGCTGCATTGGTGTAGAAGTGGACCACGGGGGGCTGTGATGTCACAGCTGGGTGCCGTTACAGCTTGTTTAATGAATAGGAAAACTTACCAGTTGCAAAATGAAAGATCGTGGCCAAACTAACTCTGTTATATATTTTAATACGGAAGTTTCTTCAGTTGTCACTCGCTCAATAAAGAGGTGGTACGAAATACACTCAGCGGCCACTTCATTAGCAACACCTGCACAGTCGAATGCGGTTCAATACTGCAGCTCTGACGTAACATCCATCCTCACCAAGTTCTAAGTGGTTTCTCGTTTTGCATCTAAATTCAATCATATGTTAATTATTTAGGTCTGGTTTGTGTTGAACTGCACCACTAAACTCAATCATCAACAATTTCATTCCATCAACACCTCCATAAGAACAAAAGTGACGGGCATCCCAAAGAAAATTATAAAAGGAGTAGTTCTATTGTTGGTTGGGGTTTATACTAATGGATAATTCACATGTGTAGTATTTTAATGTATAAATGGACCAAAGCAAAATATAAAACAAGTTATTTTTCTAGTTAAATCAAAACTGCTGTTTTAAAATATATGTTTAAATATAATCAGATCTATTAACTTGCTCATCGGAACTCTTAAAACTTCACCTTGGTTAATACTGTAATAAATAATAATGAGGTGAGCCAGACTGCGCGTGTGGGCCGCTGCGTACGCGTCCACCTCCAGGTATGCTAATGCTGTTATGACTGGCTGGCTTCATTACTGTCTGTCTACACCACACCGGCCAAGGTCAGTGCAGGCTGCAGAGATGATAGGGGGCCAAACCCATGAGCACAAATTAATCTGCTGTTTAATCTAATAATGCAGCGGGGCATCGGGGGCCTTCGTCCTATTAACACGACTGTAATTGCATTTGAGGGGGAATGGATGCACGCAAGCTCACGGGGGTACATTCACACTCGCGTGTCGCCCCCCCCCCACCCGCCCGAGTTCATCCAACAAAAATCCAATTGTATTTCACATGCGGGTGCGGACACACACTTCCCACGTCTAAGTTTGCGCGGAACGGAAAACAAATAAGAAGAGCAGCGCTTGGTGGTGGATTCAATCCAAGGAATCGCCGCGTGAGTGTGACCGTGTTTATAACTTAAGACCGGGGAGGCCTGCTCATTAGCATGGTAATACCCAAACAGCGGGGTGTAGTCGGAACAGCAGCGTATTATTAGGATTCATCTCATTAGGCTTTCATGAGATTTTAAAGTTAGCACCAAATAACTTCAAAACAGAGTATGAGATAAATTTCAAAAAAACACACACACACACACACACACACACACACACACACACACACACACAGCGAGGTCTTTTGTTTATTCTCCAAAAGTTAATTCCCTCCCCCCTCCGGAGACGGCGCACGGCCAGCGGCGACGTGGAGCGCTGCCCACGGTAACGGGATCAGACTCCAATAGGAGTCACGCGGAACTCCAGTTGACATTTAGCGATAAAAGGGGATTAGTGCAGAGACCTGATGGGGCGCTTCTTCTCTCTGTTGGGGGGGGACGACACTCACCGCGGTCAGGTGGATGACGCCCTGGGAGGTCACCGGGCATCCCATGAAGCCAACGAACTGCAGCTCAGGACAATGCTCTGCGACGGCTCGCACGGACCGATCGGTCACCTGGAGAAGAGAACGGCAGAGGGGAGAAGAGCGTTTAATAAAGCCGCCTTGATACAAATTGTGGGTTCACTCATTCACATTTCCAGGATCTACATAGGGGAGAAGTTCTACTACGAGAGAGAGAGAGAAGTTCTTCTACCACGAGAGCGAAATAAAGGAAAGAGGCAGGCAGGAGGATACTGGAGAAAAAGCACTAAAAGAGCAGCGTGGACCGCCGGTCCTCCTTCACTCAGCCGTCCACTAACAGCTCGTAATAGATCACAGATCAATACGGAAGCAGAACGTTTCCAGCCGCTCCGACTGTACACATCGATATGGGTGTCGATAGGTGCTCCAGCGCCCTCCCATCCTTCATCCCACTCAACACTGCAACAATACGTGGGAGACGGTGTGTCCTCTTTGAAGGCTTCCTCACACTCTTTGTCAATCACACACAAAATGAGATGCAAAGAAGAGAGACGGAACGGAGAGAAAAAACAAACATCAAAGAATCACTTCATTAGGAATGTCAAAGAGTCCAATGTTTCTCCATGAAATCCCCCCCAAAAGACTCATTTTGAATAAATGCAAAGTGCACATCAATTAGTGACGGAGGCATACAAAGAGTACAGGAGGTGGCTGGAAAACAATTCTGACATGTTTTGAAAATTAAATGAAAAGAATTCCTAAAATTTTGAATACAAAACGCTGAGAGAACAGAGAGTAGAAATAAATAATCTGAATACAAGATGGCTCAAGCTTGAGAAAGGTGCATCCATATAAGTTACAATGTACCATTACGATCATTCACATGAATCAGGAAAAATCTTAGGCATAATAATGTAGTTTTCTCAGAATCACTGAGAATCACCTAAATCAGTTCAGTTCTGGAAAACAATGATTTGTCAACGTACAGAACTCGAACCCTTTAGCAAACTCGTGTTGACAAAGTGAACTTGCTATTATCCGTTGGTGGACTTGCCGTCAACTTCTAGAAATGTCATCAACGTCTCTTCAGATCAATGAGAATTGAGTCAAAGCAACTGCAGGGAGAAGCTCTGCGCTTTGCTCTCTTCGGTTTCCGATGCAGAGGGGGGGGGGGGGGGGTTCTTTACAGCCTTACGGATCTATTAGCCTAAAGGCCGGAAGGTTTAAACCTGCACTGCCTTTGGAAGGAGGATTAACTGCACTGTAAAGCACACCGTGGCGACTGATGTGATACCGTTCCCCGTACGTCTAGGGAGCGCTGTGCGCTAGTCGAGCCCTTCTAGAGCTCCACATCTGGGTTGAAATGTTTCGCGTGGTTTTGAGGGTGGTGTCACACCGGGACGGGGCTGGACTGCCTGAGCCCGGCGGGCTCATTAGGCGCATTTGCAGCTCATTACGCTACCATTGGTAAGCCTTGCTGATTACTGTACACCCCCCTCCCTCACCGTCTACCTGAAAGGTTACTGAATCGAGGGAGAGGGAGATGGAAAACCCACTGAGACAGCCAGGAGGAGAAGAAGTCACAACAAGAGAGAACGAGGTGTCCATTCGTCTTTCACCAAGCGACCCGCAGTGCGGCTCATCTTTGCAATATAACTCTGATGAAGCTCAAAATGTACGTTACACGCCTTAAATGATAAGATGCAAAATAAATGGTTCATAGAGGAACGTGACCCCCGTCATAAGTGAGGCCGCGGTGATACGTTTTGAAGTGTAATTCAGCAGAGAACAAAGTGTCAGAGCACGAGATCTTTAAATGAACACTTCAAATGAATACAAATCACGTTCATCTACTCAACGTGATTTGGCTGATGCGTTTATGGGTTGGCACTAGTTTTCTGTCTTTTACTGGGAAATACTGCTTGAGTTTACAGAAAAAAAGGAGGGCGTTGATGCTTCCTAGCATTTGGTAGCAATGCCCTTCACTTTGGTAAAGACCACAGTCGACTGAGTCACTAAGACATCACCCAGTGGTTTGTGGAATTGAGTTGTGAAGCCTTCAGTTTGCGTTTGGGCCGCTTCCTTTGGCTAAAGAGAGTGAAGGTATTTACAACCCAACGCTAAACAAGGCTACCAAAATGTTCTGATCCCATCCTTCATATACAGTTCATCTTTTATTGGTAATTGGAGGAGTTGCGTCGCTCTAATGTCCATTAGAGCGAATGCAAGTTGGAAGCTGCCGCCATGTTCACACTGACATACGTTTATAAAGTGCTGCATTGTTACAAAAGCTCACACAGACAATAAAACATTAAAGATTGTTGTCATCCTCCTTTTTGTCTTAATAGCTGGGATTGCTATGGAATTTGGGCCTCACACTTTTAGAATAAATTCTAATCACTTCGTCCATCTGGAGCCTCAAACAGGTCAAAGTTGAAATACTTTAGTTGCGAGACTAATTACATTCCCATCAGCCGCAGCTTAACTTGCTGTGCTAATTAGCAAATGATAGCACACTATTCATTATGTCTTCACAAAGGGATGGCACAGAGTTTAGGTTTTCATCTTTACAGCAGGAGGGCGGTTGAGTGAGTTTCTGTGTCCCGCCTCCTCGCAACGGTCCTTTAAGCGTTTTACAAAAAGCAATAAGACTCCTCGCCCTAAAACACAACTGACCATCCCGGACACGGGGGTGTGCGCGTACGTCCGCAGTCTCGCTGCGCTCGCCGGCTTTGTACACAACAGTTTTTTCAGAGCAACCGATAACTGGATGCACCTTAAAATTCTACGCCTCAGGTTTGGACCCGCCACACAACTCCCTGCAGTCAGAAAAGATTAAGACTGAAGGCGAGTCAGCGCGCTCGCTCTGAGACACTGATGCATATGGAGACGGGTGGACGAGCACAGTTCTGTTTTTGGTAAGAAGCAGTAAAGAAAAAAAAAAAAAAAAGAATTCCCCCCCAGAAGAACCAGTCTGAGCTGAGCAGCTTGCGGGTGAAGTGTGCTGGCCGGAGCTCCCTAACCCCACGTCCCCCCCACCTCCCTCCCCCACCACGGCCTCTGCCTGGAAAACATCGAGGAATACATTTTCGGGTTGACTACCAGCGGAATCAAAAGGCGACGCTCCGTTGCGATCCTCAAAGACAAACCGTCTGTGAAAGAAGCGAGCGAATCGCAGCAGAGGGGCCACCCAGAGACGGTGTTTCATCCTGGTACTTGTGTAGCAAAGGTTTGCGGGTACAGTTGTGTGTGTGTCTATACGCTTGTGCGCAGGCGGGATAGCAGGTTACACAGCTACAGTACCTCTCAGCAGGTGAGAGAGAGGAGAGAAAAAATAAAAACCACCAGAGCAGAACAGGCCAGGAGGGCATGTACCGTATCAGATTAAGTTTGTGTGTTTGTGTGCATGTGTGTGTGTGTGTGTGTGTGTGTCACTCTTTGTCTGTGCAAGCTTGAAACTAAAATTTGTCTCAAACCCACGAATGCAAAAAAAAAAAAAACGTCCCAAATTTCTCTTTTGCCGCCTCCCTCCCTCAACCTTCCATGGGCTTTGATTTAAAAACATGGAAAGAAAGGGTATGGCGGGGCTTTGGAGGACAAGTGGCGAGCCAAGGGAGGCCTTACGGGCTTTTAGAAGGGATCTGGTCTAATGGACTCCGGGTGAACGAGGTAAGGAAGGCAGGGGAAAAGCAAAAAGAGAGGGCCGGAATGGTGGAAATGCTGCAGTCATAAAGATACCCCCTCTGTGTGCATCTTAAGGAGCTGGAGGGTAATTGTTGAGAGTGCTGTGGTGGCGGCATGGGGTGGGTTTGAGTCTGGCGGCGTGTTCTTACAGAGCGCTGGGGCAGCACCCAGGGGACCACATCTCATCCAACGAGGGCATTTAAGCTCGTCAATCACGCGACTCGTTTCTCTGCATCAAACGCAGCGGCGGCAGAGACGCGGACGGGGAGAAGAGCCGAGCAGCTCGCCGCTCATCCCTTGTTCGATAGTTCTCGCCCCCTCCCTTCCTCCGAGACTGATCCTCCCCCAACAAAAACAACCCCGCTTTCTTTCATTTGCTTCTTTGTGCCCTCACACACACACACACACACACACACACACACACACACACACACACACACACACACACACACACACACACACACACACACACACACACACACTTTCAGGTCATCAGCGAGAGGGATTGCAGGGAGTGTGTGGAGGGCAGGAACACTGTAATTTGTCTACGTTTGAAACTCTTGATAAACAATAGCACACACACAAACCCGGACGCACACACTGGCACAAAAACACACACACACACACACACACACACACACACACACAAACACACACAAAATAACGCTTTCTGGGCCCCTGCAGAACTTTTATCTTGAATTGCCGACCAGAGATAGTGGCTCCTCCTTAGACCTCCCACCCGTCTGTGGCTGATGGGTGAAATCACACAGAGAGACAGACACAGATCACCCAGAATATCTCCGCTTGAGCCATTTGTCAACCAAACGACAGTAGGCAGCATCATTATGTTGTTAATCTTAACGGATTTGCTGAACGTTCAGCAACATGGAAAAATGTCCTCATCTGGACAAAAGACAAGATGCAGAAATGAGCAACTCATGTGTCGACTGCAAAGATGTTTCTTCTTGCATTTTCTTTGTAATATTTGTCTGTAACATGCGATTCATGCTGACAAGCTTCAGAGCCTCCAGCGTGTGCTGGAGCGAACTCCGCTGCATTGCGCTCGGGCAGACGTTGAAGTGGACGATCCTGCATTCGCTTTTTACCCAGAATCCCCCGCGTCAGCATCCCCACTGAGACGACACAGCCAGACGACAGACTGTTTTCCTTGGACCACGTTACATTAACTACTATCTCACTGCTTCAAATCCTAATACCTAAATACCACGACGTCTTTATTCAGCTACTGAATCGCGAGGTTCAATTCGTGGCACCACACAGATTTCCAGTATTACCCATAAACCAGGACGGTGCAAATTGAAGTGGGACGATTTTCATCAAAGTTCTGTTCTTTCCAAGGTAATGATTTTCCCCATAAACGCTCTCTTAGGGCTGATGGTGCAGTGGGT